GTTTGCTCATTTCACTTATCAATATACTCAAGGGTATTTGGTAGTTTATGACTTACAAGGAGTTGATCTCGTTAACGAATTCTTATTAACAGATCCAGCTATACATTGTGTTGATTTATTAAGGTTTGGAATAACAAATTTAGGAAAGAGCGGAATTCAGAGATGTTTTTTGGCAAATCATAAATGTAATGATATTTGTAAAAAGTTAAAGTTAAGTAGTATTAAATTGGGATTCGGAAGTGGTTCTTGGCATGCTTTAAGTTCATTAATATTTGCGAGAAAATAACTTGCAAAAGAATGTACATTACTGTTAAGTCTGGGGCAATGGAATTTTCTATACTTATTATTGAATATATATTATTTTTTATATTTTGTATTAAAACATTACTGTAAGTTAAAATCGATATTAAAATAAAGATTATTAGGATATGATGCTTGGTAAATTCTGTTTGTTTATTTATTATTTATTTATACATTTGCTTGCTAATTATTGTGTCATATAAAATGAATGTGGTAAATGTGAGCATTATGGAGAACATTATAGCTTATTGTTTGATGCATGATATTTCGAGATATAGAACCAGAATTATATAAACTTTGCGATGTTTAATTCTTCTAACATTATTATGTAACATGAGCAATATAAAATAACAGTATTAACAAAAATTTGCCGTGATTTGATTAGGTTCATATCGTAACTAAATATCATCCAAACTAGCACATGCTAACTATATAGATAATTTAAGGGAAAAGCCAATCTGAGACAAAATGATTGAAATCTTGTTAGGAAGCATCTATATTCAATCATTTATTATATGATTAATTTTAACAGACTACGTATCGAGGCGTACTAAACTAGTAAGTTTTTTTTCACATTAATATTTATTCGTGGCTAGAGACGGGTTTCATACGTGCGCATGATTCCTTACTCGTGCGCATGTTTCGGAATCATGTGTATTTTATCCCATCTAAATTTTTAAAGTATATATAATTTAGGCCAGGGAGCGTATTTTCGGGCGGAATTAAAGAATATGGATGCGAAAGTCTCGAAAAATTCTGAAAAGAAAATGAATGAACATATAAGAAGAGCAAGATAAGAATAAAAATTTGAGCACATGCGATATCATACGCATTTTATATAAAGTGCTCATTAATGCGCATTCATGCGCACGTTATTATAAAATGCACATATTTCCCATCATTTTTCGTGATTATCTTATTATTACGCTTGCTTTGCAAAAGATGGGTCTCTCTGCAGGTCATAATATCGTGTGAAAATCGGAGATTCTGTAGATTTTAAGAATCTTACCAATTTCAAATATAACTGATCGAAAATATAAATTAATAGACAATTTAGAATCTCAGAAATTTTCCCTCGTACATAATCACAAAAATCATTGGGGCACATCTTTTTGCAAAGTGCTATAATATAAATTAGAATGTATCTCCTCTTGCTTATTATCGATTTCCAATTATTGATCATATTTGGAATTTTTTACGAATTAAAAGTTAATGTTACAACTTATTCTCGTTATAGTGAAGTCTCCGGGATAAGAAATAATTCTCCACAATAGCTTATGTTGAGAGGATACTATGTATAATTCACTATATCGAGTTGAAGTTTAATATTCTGGAATTCAAAAATTCTTCACATTCACAATTACGAGAGTAATTTGTAGAATTTCGAGAAAAGGTTTTATTTCCTTTTTTTTAAAAATAGTATCAAACCTTTTCAATTTAATAATTATGATTTCTTAATAATTGTCTGAAAGATATTTTCGTTATATGTATTCAGTCAAATTGTAAAGGAAGCAACTCGCGAAGTATTAAAAAAGATCAATTATTTAATTTTCGTGAAAAAACTCTAACGAATGCAATAGTTAATTTTTAAATAAATTTGATTTTTGTTAAAAAAATTTGAAAAAAACAGTATTACTGAACTGACTAAAAGATGTCGCACAAAAAATATGCAGCAAAAAAAAGAACTAGGCAAAATTATACAAAATTTAATAATTTGAAACTGCCAATTTTACCATAAAGTACGCATCTTTGTTGCTAAAAAATTAAAAAATAATTTCTGGCTAAAATTTAAAACTAGAAATTGCGGTTTCACCTCCCATTTCGGATAATAATTATAGTTAACAGGTGGTGTGACAATAATTTCTTGTTATCTGTTGGTTGCGGATGATAGCTGATTATTCACCAGGAAACAGTGCCTATAACATTTAGCCGAAGGTCAAGTCATAATACAGTATTTCTCGTGAAGCAATCAGCTCAGCTATTATCTCCCTACCTGATGTCTGACGTAAGCATTTAATGATTTTCATGCAGCTTATTCTACCATTCCTATATGAATATGTAAGAGGTGAGTGAAATTTTGCATATACACATTAGGAGTGGTTGAATAAATTGCATGAAACTCATTAAGTGATCACATAAGACATGTCGGATACAGTATGAATCTTGGTAAGAATAATCTTGGATCGGAAGGAGGAAAGGCATTAGTGGATGTACTTTGTAAGAAATTCATTCTGGCTTTTTAGAACTTGATGCAATAATATTGAATTATTCGGAGGAAAAGCATTAGTAGATGCACTTGAATCGAATGGTCTTAGAATTAATTGAGAGAAAGCATTAGAAAATGTACTCTGCAAACACACCTTAGTTTCTTTGAATCTTTGAGATAATATCTTTAGAACAATTGGAGTGAAAACAATAGCTGTTGTACATTGCAAGAACACCACCTTAATTTCTTTGAATATTCGGTTTAATTTTATTGTATTAGACGAAGAGAATTTTGATTTTTTTTTTACTGTAAAATCAGACAATTCAGGCATTTAATTAAACAGGTGGATTTAGGTTTAAATAAACATAAAATTGAAATAAATTATTTATGATAGACTGTACGTTAATCAGTAACAAAATGATGTCTGTCTAAGTTATCTTCATCTTTTGAAATCTATCGAACTATGTTATAATGTATTCATTGTATCATATTTTAATTAAAAGTATTTAATAAATATGATTATTATATTTAAATGAATATATTGAAATTAAGTTAATCTTTTATAAATGATTTATCACCAATAGAAGTATTTAAGGTGTTTGATCGAGACCCTGTTTTGCTTTGAATTATTTTATGAATAATGAATATTAATAAAAATATAATTGCAGCTACTGTGACAATTATTGTAACAATCCAGCGTATACTTAATCCAGAATCTCCATAAGCCTCTGTAGTAACTGAATTAAAACTATTATTACTGCTATTGTTATTACTATTACTGTTATTATTACTACTACCACTATTATTATTATCTACAGAATTAGATTGGTTATTGAGTGTAGCTAATAATGACCATTTATAACTTAATGGATT